CATAGGTAGTGGCTTATCTTCAATAAACAAACTATAAAGTATCAATTCTAATGTACGTTAATGTACAAGAAACTATTGGTTTCTTTTATGGAATTACAAAGTGTACCACTAGTTGCAGTGAAGGCTAGGGAACTAGTCTTCCTGAAAAGGGACTGATATACTAAGCACTATCAGGAAGTCATGCTAGTCACCAAACTAAAACTCCTCAACAAATATTCAAGTACTAAAATTAAATAGTTCTACTTAATTAGCAGAATGTTATTTATACAAGTCTCCTAGGTAAATTCTCGTTTCTCAGTGCTCCCACTCCCAACATTAAGATGATGAAGCCTTTGATCCCAGCTATTTTGCAAAGACAGTACTAAGAAAATCTTACTTTACGTAAAGTTCACAAGCATGAAATATTTCTGCTCTAAAATACACAGCTAGACAAACCTTATTTTTCAGTTCATTCACTTCCTGTCCATGGCTTCTGCTCAGCTGTTCTTCTAATTTCTCCAGCTGCATTTTTTGTTGCTGTTTGATAGCTTCAAATTCAGAGCTCAGACTTTCTAACATCCGACTCTTGAGCTCAACTTCTCTCTGAAGAGTATATTTTTCTTGTTCATAATTCTAAAAAGATTCAATTATAATTACATAAAAATAATTTAGTCACCACACAGTTTTCACCTTCAACTGAATTATTCCTGTTTCACACATTTGCTGCTTTCTCATAACCACGTTAAATCTAGAATAACTGCATCCAGTTAATATCCGTTTTAGAAATATGCAATTAATATGAATCTTAAAAAAACCTTGAGGTGTATTTTGAGAGTACATTAAAGTTCAGGCTAGGGATATGGTAATTGCTCCTATGCCCTGCCAAGGAAGTAAAAAGTGCTCTATGGCTGTCAACGTGTCAAGTAATCTCTGCTGGGGGAAAAAAAATTATCTGCTACATTTACATTTTGAGATTAAAGTTTATATATGTTACTGAGCATTTACTAAATAAATCTGATTTATTCATTCTTTCAATAAATGTGCACTAGATATCAGAGATACAGCAATGAATTAAGACAGACAAAATTCTTCTCTCATGTCATGTCTCTCCACGACAGTGGGGAATTAAAAACTCAGGTGGAGGCAACAGCTCCTGTAAAGCCCACGAGGCAGGATGCGTATAGCTAAGAACAAGGGAAAGTAGCTTTGAGATGAGACCATGGGGATCAACAAGCCCAGGTAAGGAGCTCAGATTTTGTTGTAAATATAATTGGAAGTTGCTTTATGCTCTCTGCAGGCTGTGACATCATCTTTTGTATATTCTTCAATGACCACATGGCTGATGTGTGAAGAATGAACAGTATGAATGGCAGTGCAGGAAGCAGGCAACCTGGTCAGAAAGCTACAGCAGTGTAGTACTCTAAGGGAGAGATGACAGTGGTCTGAACTAGAGTGGTGGTAGCACAGACGCATGTTTTGTAGGTTAAGTTCTTAGAGCTTAATGGATTAAAGGTGAGAAATAAGGGACAGAAAGATATTGAGAAAAGCTCCTAGATTTTTGGCTCAAGTAACTAGATGAATGTTACTACTTTTACTAAGGAAAAGAATTTTGCAAGAGCATGTTTGGTTACTGGACAGATGATCAGCTATTTTGTCTGTTTATGTTAAGTTTGAGATGTCCATTAGTGGGCAACTGAATACACAAGTCTAGACTTTAGGGGAGAACTAAGGACTTGGCATAGTGTCATGGGGCATCTTAGATGTTATTGAAAGCTACAAAACAAATTAGGTCATCAGATAAGAGTGCAGACAAAACAAAATCTAAAGTCCAAGATGTGGTGAAGAAACTGATCATAACTTAATTTTTCAAACTCAGAACACATCAAGTCAGAAAGAATATTAGAAATTCACTTAGTTCATTTCCCTTTGATGGGGATGGGGTGGGAACTAAGCCTGAAATCTTCAGAAAAGAAAAATAATATTAATCACTGCTAGACAACGCAAATCCTCAACGGCTAAGCACATGCTTAGAAACAGAGAAGTCTACAGACCCCTACCTCAGTCACGGTCATCATTTCATTACGGCATTTATCCAATTGATCCTGCAGTTCACTTTGGCTCTCCACTAGTTGTAAACCATACTGTGCAGCTTTTAGTCGCTCTTCTTCAACCTCTTTGAGCTTGCATCGAAGATCTGCTATTATATCTGCCTCCATGATTTTTTCCTATCTACTGTAAATAGAGGAAACCAAAGTACTTAAGCTTAAACAAAAAACTCCGTATCAATAAAAGATGTGTGTGTGAATATACGTGTTATATTTATATATACACACACATATACATATATATATGTGTGTGTAAAACCAATACCATATAAAAACATAGTATTAAAGATTTTCTTCCCTACTTTTAAACAGTCAAATTTGCATTCTTGTTCTAAGAGCAAGGTCTGACTATTTTGCTACCTGATTTGAGACCAACTCAAACAGAGCAGAAAAGAATGAATACATTTAATTTTGCTTCTAAGTAATGCAGTATCAGGAAACTGTTCAGTTTTGTGTACTAAGCTTCCTTAAATGCTAAGGTAGGGTGGGTGGGTCTCATATCACTATATAGGTAACCAAGTTAAGAGAACTGCAGAAATCAAGAAACTTTATAGTAGCATAACTGCAACTTGAAACATAAAAAGGCAGCTTTGAATAAGATTCATAAGGACTAGCATGTCCACAATTTTTCACAACAGCGTTAACTTCCTGAACACATTAAATCTGCCACATTAAATGTGCTTTATTGAAAACAGACTCACTAGCATTTTCCTAGTTATCCATAAAAAGCCATGCAAAACAAACCGTGTTCAGAGTAATTAAAGAACATTGGTTTCATTTTACATTTTTAAGTAAGGACTTAAACATTATATATAGAAACATTCCACTTTAATTCAACCTCACTCATCATCCTGTCCAAATTGGTTCCAGGTTCTTAGGCTAGACTTAAACTCAGCTTTGCCTTCAAAAAGCAACAAGCCATTATTAAGGTATTCTCCCATGTCTCCATTCAATGCAGCCATTCACTCAACAAATATTTCTTGAATGCCTTGTGTGCTGGGCCCTATTCTGGGCACTTCAGATACATCAGAGGTCAAATGGACCAAAAGAAAAAAAGCTCTTCTTTCATGAAACTTATCTTCTGGGAGAAGATATGCAAGAATAATAATATAATAAATAAATGCATTAGGAAGTAGAAGTGGAAAAGTATATATATAATAGGATAAGTGAACTTGGAAGAGGTGGGGGCATTGTTGAGTGAGGAGCCCCTCAGATACTTCAAAGCAAAGCCTTGCAGAGGATAAGAGAATTAGCCATGTACTATTTAGGGAAAGAATGTTCCAGGCAGAGGGGTAGCCCTAAAGGTGGAAGGAAGCCCAAAGAATGGACAAACTACAGTATACAGATAAAAGAGGAGACTAGGGAAATCAGGCCATTGTAAATAAACTTTGGCTTCTAGTCTGGGTGAAACGCAGAGTCACTAAAAAGTTTGACGTAGGGATATGATACATTCAAAAGGATCATATTGGCTGATACGCTGAACATTTTGGAGGAGAACAAGTTGGAAGCAGAAAGACCAGGTGGGATGATCACTCATGTCAGCGTGTCTGCACAGGAGGTGATGAGAAACGGTCAGATTCTGCATATATTTTGAAAGTAAAAGCCAACATAATTTTCTGACAAATGCAATGTAGCATGTGTGAAAGAGAAGTAAAAAATTCACAATTAGGAGAACACCCTAACAGCAGTTTTGGTGGGAAGATGGGGGCAAAAGCCTGATTAGAATGGGTTAGACAGAGAATGGTAGAACAGGAGACAGCAAGTATAGTTTTGTTGCGAAGAAGAGTAGATATAAATGGGGCAGTAGCTGGAGAGGAAGTAAGGTCAAGTTTTTGTTTGTTTAAGATGAACAAATTTTTAAGAAAAAATAACAGCATGTTTGTATGCTATGGGATAGATCCAGGAGAGAAGAAACACTAATGATACAGAAGACATGGAGAACTATTGGAGTGATGAATAAAAAGTATGGTATCTAAATGTGCAGGGGCTTTTTTGGACAGTAGCATGAATATTTCATATAAAGTAAGGGAAAGTAAAGCATACGGGTAAAGACACTGGTAAGTAGTTAGATACTGTATGTTGGAGTGCCCTTCTAATTGCTTCAATTTATCAGTAAATTAGGAAGCAAGGTCTTTAACTGAAAATGAAGATTAAGGAGGAAATATAGGGGTTTAGAAGAGGAAAAAAAAGAAAAAAGAAAAAAAAATCCTTTTTACAGCCAGGACTGGCTGTCACTGCTGTAAAATGCCAGACCTTTCCAAAGCTTGTACATGATGGGGCCAGTCACTAATTTGTTGCACTGTTAATAATAATTTGTATTTGCTAAGGATTTGCCATTTGCCAGGCAGAGTGTTTCAAATGCACTGTTGCATTTAATTCCCTTGATGGGCCTAAGTTAAGTACTACTGTCATCAACATTTACCAAAGAAAGAAATGGAGCTAGCCTCAAGACATCCCAGCCAGCAATATCCATAGAAGCCAAAAACAGCTCTCATTCATTCAAGAGATTTGCTGGAATTTCTACTATGTCTCGGGTATTGTCTTATTGCTGTGGGCACAGTGGTGGCCCCCAAAACTAGACAATATCCCTGCCTTCTTGAATCTTACAGTCTATTAGTGCAAAGACATTAAATCAAATAACTGAAATGTAAAGTTACAAGTGTGATATGTGCAAAAGGGAGTGATGTGTGGTGCTATCTGAGCTTATAACACAAGGGAGTCATCTTAATCTACGTAGTGGTGTGGGTGGGGGCAGGGTAAAAGGGAATACAGACAGGAAAGATTTCCCTGAGGAAGTCACTTTTCAACAGGTATAATGGATGTGTAAGAGTTAACTTATCAATCTGTAGAGAAAGGTAGCTAGGGCTGAGTAACAACTACAGCTAATATGTGCCAGACTTTGTGTTTGGTGCTTTGCATACATCATCTTATTTAATCCTCTCAACAACCCTATGAAATAAAAGGTTTCTCCTCCACTTTACACATGTGCAAACTGAGGCACGGAAAGGTTAAGTAACTTGCCCACGGTTGTCGGGGGCAAGTGAGACGGGAACCCGTATCTAGTTTTCAAGACTGGTGCTCCACTTTTCTGTGCTGCCTCTCAGAAACGTACCATGTAAAAAGCATTTAGGAAACAGGGAGCTCAGGGACTCAGGCTGCCTGATTCTTACCCTACGTTTACTTCTCACTGGCTGCATCAACCTGGACAACTCATTCAATGTCTTGCTTTGTCATCCATAAAGTAAAGGCAATAGCATCTACCTAATAGGGTTTTGGGGAAGATTAAACGAGCTAATGGGTGAAAAGTAATTAGGGTGGAATCCGAAACGTAACTGAGACAGCGCTGTTGTCCAATAGAAACGCAATGCGAGCAAGATGTGATTTTTAAAATTTTCTAGGAGCCACATTTTTTTAAAAAACAGTAAATATTGGTGAATTTGACTGTTTAACCCAACATATCCAAAATATCATCATTTCAACATGCACTCATTATAAAGATCATTAACGAGATCACTTTTTGGTGTGACTTCAAAATCCAGTGTATATTTTACATTCACAGCGTTTCTCTATTCGGAAGGCCACAGGTGACCACTGGCTACGGTACAGGACAGCGCAGACCCAGCGTCCGGTATCTCCCGGAGGCCAAGGCAGCGGACCCGGCTTTCTGTATTAATGCACCCTCCGCGGGGGTGTCCGGGCGGCCCACTGGATGACTGAGACCGGCTCGGAAGCTGGTTTATCGGAACCGAGTTCTGCTGAAGAAGCGGCTCCAGCTAAAAGCCCGGGCGGAGACTCAGAGCCCCAATTCCCTTAGGCCCTGCTCTCCCCACCCTAGAAGTCCCCCCTACGCAGCTCCCCAGCGCCCCTCTTCCCACACGCACCTCCCTCCAGGCCCCTTGCCCTGACCTCTCTCCTTACCCTTTGCCCTGCCGCTGCAGCTCAGGAACCCAGGTCCGTGACGCTCACTCTACCGCACAACACAGACGCCGGCCGCTGGCTCTCCGGTAAGCGCCAGGGCTGTTTGAATGCAGTTCCCGCGATAACTCGCATATCTCGCGAGACGTTCCGCCCAAGCGGAGCGCAGAGGGAAATCCCGTGCCACGCCCCATCTGCAGCGTCTGCGCAGGTGCAAGCGGAGAGAATCGGGCTTGGCGTAGACGTAGACGTGGTTCTCTGTCTCCTCAGCGTTACTCAGGGTTGGTTTTTCTGGGTGTTTTTTTTGGTTTTATTTCTTGGTTTGTCTTTGTTTTGTTTGTTTTGTTTTCTCCTAACGACCGTAGCTTCTTGAGGAACAGTGTCACTAGGAGGTGAGGCGGTGGAGAGTTCCACGCGTGCTGGCCTAGCCGCGCATCGGCCGCTGTGCGTCCTGAAGGCTCTGCCCTGCGGTGCCAGTCTTACGGTTCCAGGAGTTTAACTCAGTGTTGCAGTGCCCAAAAGCATCATAGACAGAATCACAGTTTCTTTCATAGTACAGAGTGACAGTTACTGTAATGGCCTTACATACTGGAGCCTTCACCATGTGCCGGTACAGTGCTAAATTTTACACGGATTGTCTCACTTAAACTCGCCGACAGTCTTAGGAAGTAGGTATTACTATCTTTTTCTACAGAGGAAAACAGCCCTGAGAAGAAAAATACCTTGGCCGCATGGTAGAAGTAGAATTTGAACTAACGCAGTCGGCTGCTAAAGTCCAAGCACTTGCGTGTGTGTTTAAATAATTTATATTTTGTAAACCTAATGCCTATTCGTTAAGCAAACAGAAATCATAATAGGCAACATTTGGTGGGCACTTATGAGTTCTAACAACTATTCTGTGGATCATGTTGTGCCAGCCCATCTTTTCTTGCCTACTTGAGGACTTGGCCATAGGTCCTCTCTTTTTCATTATGTTTTTTCTTCCCAGTTGGACTTTCCCTATCGACAAATAAACATTCTGTAATGATTTCCATCTCAGAAAATAATACTAACTTCCCTTGACCCCAAACAGCTACCACCTTATTTATTTGCTTCCCTTGATAACAAAATTGCTGGGGGAGAAAAAGTTAAGACTTGGTATCTTAATTTTCTTACTTTTTATTCTAACTTTTTCCCCCACTTCAGGTTTTGGTCCCACAACTCCAGTGGAATGACTCTTCTCAACATCACCAGTGAGTTATATCTTGCAAAATCTGTTATTCAGTCCTCATTTCTCTCAACAATTGACAGAGTTGATTGCTCTCATTGAGTCTCCTTAGGTCTTGGGATGCCACACTCTCCCTCCTTTTCTCAAATCCCTTTGCAGACTTCTATTTCTGACTGAGCAAGGCAACGGATTGATGTGGGCTTGAAGACTGGCAACGATGATGTCTTCACGTTGCTCACAGTGTAGCCTGGTAGATGCTTTTGGGGCCTGGCTGAACAAATGCTCATTCGTCATCACTTCTTGAATAAATGAAATCCCATTTTCCTATCATTTAATAAAGATTCCTTAATTCAGGAGTCAGGAAGACATTCTAGCTTAGACCAATCATGACTGGCTGAAATTAGGTAATCTATAAAGTATATGAACTTCATTTTTCTCATTTGTTAACATAAGAAAGTAGACCTCCACTTCAGTAATGTTTCTTTCAAATCTAATATTTTTAAAAAATATTTTAAACTGTTGGCTGAGTGTCCACAATGTGCTAGGCATAGTGGAAGGAATTCAGAGATGTAATTGTCACTCCTCTCTGGAAGATGCTCACAATATAGTAGGGGATTAAATAAAAACAAATAAAAATAACCACAGAGCTGTATATAAATATTTTGTGAATGGTGTATACCCTACACTAAAGGAGTTATGTGATGGGAGGGGTCAGTTTTGTCTTGGTGTTCTTTTAACATTTCATAGTCCAGGTGGCACTTGAGCAGGGCCTTTAAGGATGGTTAAGCTAAGGAGGAGTATATTCAAAGGAAGGGGATAGCATTAGCAAAATCCACATCAAAATTGAAGTCAGTCATTAGGAATTGTCTGGATAGGCTGCTGCCTGTACCACCACTGGACACTAGATGTCACAAGAGAAATGAATTCTAGATGCTCCCTGCTTGTTCGGATAACTTGTTTAAGATTCACAATTCCAGATGCAGATCTGCATACCAGATGAGGTCCACATACCATGAGCTAAATGCCAAGGGTCAGGGCGAAAAAAATGCATCCCTCGTTTTCAGTTTACATAATAAGAGATGGGATTTTGCCTCCTCACACAGATTGATCAAGTGGATTCATCAAGCATAGGAAAGGAATTTAGATGTTGGGAATATAATTCCTAATGTTACTGCTATAATATTACTTCTAATAATAATAATAATAATAATAATAATAGCATTTCTGATTATATAATTCCTAATACAATTCCTAGTATTGCAGCTGTTCAAAACTGGGATAGACTGCTGTGGTAAACTGGCCATCATTCCTTCACTATGACTATTCTAGTGGAAATGAAAGGACTGGTTTTCAAAAATGGTGTAGAAGGGAGTGTTGCACTGTACTGAAAGCAGTGTGTATTTTGACATGAACTTACTGAATGATTAAGTTTGTTTTGGTACCACAATAGTCTCTGTCCTCAGGGAACTTAGAATTTAGTGGAAGGGGTATTTATCAAACAATAAACTGTTACTCAGAGTATGGCTTATTCTTTCTTACTCCTTCATATTATTAAGAAAACTCCAAGCTAGTCTTTTTAGGGTCAAGGAAGAACAAGCCCAGGATTCTGAGACACGGAGTTTGCAAATAAGATCTGGATTAATTTACAAAGTTCCATGATTCATAGGATGGACCAGGATATGAAGTTTTGGAAGTTACACTCAGGGTTGTGGTAATTAAAACCTGGAGAATGTCTGAGACCTGGTGAATCAAGAAGGCGGCTTAGAGAGCCTGAACGCACTAATTAACCTGCCAACTTCCCATTCCACATTTAGGAGTTGATGAGGCTAAAACTGTAAGTTGCTAACTTCCAGAGATAGAATCCCATGATGGCTCTTCTGAGAAAAATGTCTTGATTGTACTAAAAGGAAGGTGTATCTTAAATGAAGGGGCCTAGTGTATATTGGAGAAAAATAAGGATTCAAACAGCTTGTGTGTAATCCTTTCTTGGCACCACTTCACATTACCATTACACCCCTGTTAAGCTTGCTTCTTCAGATGATTCTAGCACCTAAGCCAGTTAGAAGTAAGACGCAGTGTTTATATCAGTTATGGTTTTTACTTGCCAAGAATAGTACCCACTCAAGTTGGTTCTAGGTGTGTGTGTGT